CATATCGGGAACCAATCCTGGTTAATTTAGACCATCAATGGATGAGCAAGGATACAACAATACAAACAACAAAATACATGATTCAAACTAAATCAACAAATCAAAACATAAACTCACATTAAATTACTGGATTAAAAATGAACTTCAAACAAAGATGAACATTAACTAAATATATTTTTAAACAAACAAACATAACGGATTAAATGATTCAAACAACATTAATAATTTCTGGAAAAATACATAACACATGAAACAAATTGAAGAAATAATTAATTAGATTTCAATTTGAATATAACAAACATTAAACTAACAAATTTGACCTAAACAATAAACAAGAACAATAAAACAAACATGAAACAAACTAAAAAATTCACAAAATAATGAACAAAAACAAACATTTGCCGATTTTAGATTCGAGAATATCAAAACAAAATACGGACAAAATAAAACTCAAAATCTACTAACTGGATCGACACGAAATATGTACGAACTGTTTTGACGAGCCTCGACCAAAGCTCGAACAAACGAGGACGAACACGGATTTAAGAAGTTGATGCCAAAGCAGTAGTGATGAAACAGAAACAGCTGGGGGGTGCGTTTGGTTTGCTTGAAGCTGAAAGCAGAAGAAGCAGCTACGGAACAACTTGGCCATGGTGAGCTCAAGCTCGAAGAAGATGAAGTGAAGCAACAACAGCTGGTCGACGCCGAACAACAGCAGCTCGACGAGGCAGAAGCTGGAGCAGCTGGAACGTCAGCAACAGCGGTGGCGCGGGCAGGTTTGGTCGCCGCTGGTTCGGGTTCGACGACGACGAAGATGGAGGCTAGGAGCTGCTGGGTGCGTTGCGAAGAACATGAAGCTGGAGGGGGTCGTTCATGGTGGTATGGTGGAGCTCGATGTGAAGCAGATGTTCGACGAGCAAAAACGCAGCAACATTGTTGCTCGTCAATGGCGGACGATGGAGGGGTCGTTTGAGAGGGTGAAGAAGATGAAAACGTGAGGGGTCTATTTGGAGGATGGTTGTCGGGCAGCCATGGAGGGGAAGGTAGCCATGGTTGGCCAAAGTTTGAAGTTTGAAGAAGATGAAAGTAGGGAAGGGGGCGGATGGTTTTAGTTTTAGGGTTTTTGGGTTTTTTTTATTTTTTGTTTTGTTTTGTGTTGGACAAAAATGAATAAGGGTGTTGTTTATTTGGGTTAATGGGGCGGACCGGGTCGATCCGGTTCGAAATGGACCAGGTCATGGGGAAGGTTGGACAATTGTTTGGGCCTGGGGTTGAAATTTGAAGAAGTGGCCCAATCCGATTTTTCTTTTGTATTTTTGTTCTCTTNTGAAGAAGTGGCCCAATCCGATTTTTCTTTGTATTTTTGTCCTCTTTTCTTCTTTTATTTTCCTAAAACTACATTATGAAAATATTTAAATTATTATTAAGAACTAAATTAAGTTATAAAAGCGCAAATTAACTCTCAATGACAATTAACACACAATTAAGTAATAATTAAGCATAAGATTGTATATTTGAACATTAAATGCTAAAAATGCGAAATATGTCTATTTTTGTAATTTTTATTTTTTGTAAAACAAATTTAATTACTAACAATTGTAGAATTAAATCCTACATGCAAAATGCGACATATTTTTGCATTTTTTATTAATTTAACAAATAAACATGCACAGACAAATACACAAAATCTCACAAAATTGCACACCAAGGAAAATCATTTTATTTTGAATTTTTGGGAGTAATTCTCATATAGGGCAAAAATCACGTGCTTACAATGACAACAACAACAATCCAATATAATCTCACAAGTGGGGTCTGGGGAGGGCAGGAGCAGGATGTACACAGTCTTACCTCTACCCTGCAAGGGCAGAAAGACTGTTTCCGATATACCCTCGGTTAAAGAAGGTGAAAGAAGTCCTGATAGATTAAACAGACAAAAAATAGATTACATGACAAAGAAGCCCTGATAGATTACATGACAAAAAAGACAAAAATAGCTCATAAATTATGAGATATCATAAATTAAAAAGTACACGAAATTAGTCATCTACGGACACATTCAGATCAACAAGGTAGCTCCTCCAACTCCTTTTTACGATGTACAGGTAGTTCAGGAGCACAATATGTCATGTATCTATAGAAACATAAAACAAAGCAGAAGCTCAAAGCCAAAGCTCTAACTAACAATTCTACGTTCAGCATGTAAGCAAGAACCTGCATGACTATTCCCAGCAATACGTCTATTCCCCCGATATCATATGCGAAGTGCAAGAAGTGGGCAAAGGTGTAAAAATATGTGGTGCAGCATAGCAGTAGAGCGAGATACCCATAATTGAACTCCAAAAGGTGATGCAAGGCTGCTGCAGTTATCATGGGAATGACCTCAATCATAAATTTCGCCTTGGCACCAATTAACCGGAAAGGCATGTACTGATGCCAATAAACAATAGAGTATAGCACAGCCACATGAAAAAAATAGCTCCCGACTAACATAATTAGTACGATGACAGATATCGGATCACGAACAAAATTCAGAATGGCAGCGACCATGCAACCGAAGGGAAGGATGCCCAAAGACCACCACAACATCTCAACGCCCATTACGAGAGGCCCTGAAAAACACGAGAAAATATATTTACGTCATAAAGAAAGTTACAAAAACACAAAATCGAGCACAAGAGACTATGAACAAGCACAATTGGAAATTTGGAGCGGGCAACTTTTCACAAAAAATCACCACTTCAAAGTCTAAAAAGAAGCAGTATCTCGTCTCCAAAGAGTATCAGTAAAGTAATTGTGGCATTGATCTGACGCTCAAGCAAGAAAGCACCATATAAAGCTACTCATCTTTTCTTTCGTGAGTATGGTTAACCAAGAAGTTTAGTAAATATCTTCACAACTGTAACATGTCAAATCTGCAGAAAGGTAATGGCTAGAAATGACCAAGGAAACGTTGAAGTAACTCTTCATAAGTGAGACAGGAATAGATCTGTAACAACTGTGTTACAGTACTCCCAAAAGGAAAAATGTAATGAACTCAAATCTAGAGTAACTGAACCTCTCCACTCTATTAATAAGACTGAAATGTGATTACAACTCAAATATCAAAATGCAACAACTTAGTAGCAGAATTACAATAGAAATTGCAGGAAGTAAAGTAACAAGGGATAGATAGAAGAAGTGGATAAGAAGATTAGACTCGAAGAATGGGAGACGAGGAGAAGCGGACACCTTTCTCAACAATATGCCTCATCCTAAAATAACCAACCAGTCCCCCTTTTAACAGAACCATCCTTGCATCATATACTCAACCTGGATCCCAAATTAACCTGATCCTATTACTTGTTCTCGGCCCAAAAGCTCTTCTCAACAGTCAGCCTAATAGCTACTTGTGAGACATAGGGCTGGGGCTGGTTCATAACAAAAAAGATGTGTCTGTCAGGTTCGGTTCTTTTTAGTTGGTTTGGGCGGGTTCGACCAGAAAAGCTATACTTGCAGAAACTTTTTCATAAAAGAACTTCAAAGGAAATCCTATGACCAAATGGGAGTGAGCAGCACCACGCACAAACTTGATGCACTATTATTACCTCCCCCTTCAAATAAAAATCTCATAAATTTGTGGCAATGTCAATGACAAGACTATAACAGACTGACTACATTATCAAACTTATGCATTCCTCAATTGCCAGATCTTCACTTAGCAGTATTCCCACTCACATTATGCATTACATCTCTGAAAGAGCATAACCAAGATTATTAATAGAACCCAAAGTAACTTCCTCTGGGGTTCTACTGATACAAAGAGGAAAAAGCTCCACCTCTTAAATTCCGACATTATCACGAAGCATAAGAATGTTGGTGGTCTTGGCCTCCAAGAAGCTTATGGTAAATGGAAAAAAACAAGCTTTACATGCCAGCCTAGCTGGATAATATTTAAAAATCCTACTGCTTTTTTGGGCTACCATTCTTATCAAAAAATTATTGCAGGCCAAACACCATGTCAATCATTAACTTTGGGGACCTGGAAAAACATCCTACATGGTTGGGAATTTTGCAAAAGTCAACGATGTCGTGCAAACTGGAATTTGGAACCTCAATGACATCCTTTGCACTCCCAAGTTCTTTTACCAACATATGATCAGCATTCACATAATTCCTGCAAATCATGCTGTGACCACATCCTTATATGGTCTCTGACCTCAAGTCTTATACAGATCTATAAGACTTGTATCTATCTGTTCGTATGTGATAAACCGCTAGGTTGAACCTTATAATATCAATCTTTAGGAAAGAGACTTACTACCACCATTCGGTGGACCACCCAATGAAGATGGCCATGCCCACCTAAACTTCTTAACAAATGAAACCACAGTCTTCAAGCTCTGCCAGCACTTCTGAGAGGAAACCGTCCAAGTGCAGAGGAATAAGCCACGAGGAGAGGCACACAGAGGAAGAACTTCACCCATCTAGCTGCAGATAGATAGATACATATATTTAATCATAAAAATTTTATTTATATTGATACAAGTTTTGCCAGTCTTACATTAAACAGATATAAGGTTCACTAGAAAGGGATAAAATTAAGGAGAAGGATATGCTGGAGAACCTGTTAACAGGATTTCACTTCTTCTCATAAAGTTCACAGCTGCAACAAAACAACAAAAAACAAAAATATAGAAAAGAATAAATGCAGAGGGACAATTGGAAACAAAAGTGTATAGCTACATTTTGTGCTTCAACAAACAAATCCCACAAAACAAAGCAACTAATCAAAGAATAAATAAAACACTCATGGCAGCATCAAGATTTAAGAATCAATCAAATCCACCCATCAAAATCAAAACTTTATCAATTTCTTGGAAATCTTCCCACTTAAAATCAAGAACCTAAATTACTTGTCCTCATGATGATATTAGCTGAAGACAATTATCAAACTCGAATGATGATAATATTAGCTGATAAGATATTCACAATTCAGTTAGAGATTTATGATCCAAAATTAACTTCAGAAGCAATCAATCAATCATATGAGCAAATTAAGGGGAAAACTGCACCAAACAACTACATGCCACTACCTTAATTAAACTCTAGTAAATAAATTTTGCAGAAACATTATAGATTAGTCAAAAATTGCAAGTCTGTCATAACGGCCAGGTAATGCAGCCCGGTGCACGAAGCATCCCGTGTTGTTTTATGTAGCGCCTGGGGAAGGACTGCATATGATGTAAGCAGTCTACCTGATGCAAGCACATTGATTCCACGGCTCGAACCCGTAACCTATAGGTCACACGGAGACAAACTTTATCGGTGCTCCAAGGCTCCCTTTCAATGTCATAACGAAAGAAATAATAGTTTTAAAAAAAGTAGTAATCCAAAAATATATTATAGCAGAGCAGGATTTAAAATAGTTTTACAGAATTTATGTTGGTTAAGAGTTTAAAGGCTGAAAACTTGCTTCGACAAACACAAAGGAGGAGGAGCAAATAGAAATTGCAGACCCCAATTTTATGTTCGTTTTAGGGTTCAAAGACTGAAAATTTTGCTTAGACAAAACACAAAAATCATAGAAATTGCAAAAATAAATACTCTATTGAATTAGTTTACCCGTGTCCTGGAGGAAACGATCCAAACCCAGCAACAGTTGGAAGACAAATGGGTTTCTAGGGTTAAAATAAGAACAAAAGGAAGAGATGCTTTTCTTTTCCTTTTTTTTCCTGTGAAAAGGTGTCAGACTGTAGCAGTTTAGGATTTGGATTAATATCCAACAAGGTTCAGATCAAGTAGTTCAATAAAGATCCTACGGTCCACGCTAAGGAACACCAGTAGTCGTATCCGGCGATGCGCGATAAATATTAAAAAATTAAAAAATATTTTTATTAATATAAGAGAAATTGTTACATTAATAAAAATATTTATTAGCATATTAACTTTCACCGAAAAAGAAAAAAACTCCCTCAAAACTTTAAGATCTGGAAATTTAAAAAAAACAAAGGGTTTTCAGTTGACTGGCTTGGTGATTTCTGGGGATCTTATGGGTGTTTAAACTCTCAAGATTGATAGTTGATTGCTGAATCTGCGGCTGCTTCGCTGGGTTGTCTTTGTTCATATTGCAAGTGGGGCATCTGTTTCAATTGAAAAAGAGCAATCGTTTTGCTCTGCTTCTTTGCTTATCAGTGGTAGCGGTGATAGCTCCTTCTGGTTTTTGGGTCGTGGTATTTTCTGTGTTTTCAGGAATTCTCGGAGTATTGGAGGCAAGTTGGGCGCACGAGCACTGGCAAAGGAGAGCAACCTGGGCGAGTGTCAGCAAGGGTGGCAGGAAGTGGGCGGGAGCGTACAACTACATCGAGCACAACAAATCAGCCACAGGTTTTGTTATCGGGAGTTGGTACCTCATGTTTTACTGTTTCCCTTTTGGTGTTAGCTAAATTACTGTTACTTTACTT